AAAAAAAAATGGATATGGAGTTAATGGTCTTTCAAACGGTGAAGGGAATACAGAGCAAGGCATTTCACAGGCTCTCCCTCTACAGGTACCACACACCTTTCCTCAGTGAGGACAACTGACAGGCAGGTCACTCTGCCAAAATCCCACAGTAATTTTGCTGAATGCAACTTTTAAAGCACAGTTTAGAGTGTGTCAGAAAAGATCTGAATCGCACTATAAACAAGCTCTGCCAAAGCCTTCCCTAGACATTTGCAATCTCACATGTAGTCATTAGAAATGGATCAATACACACCTCATAGAACTGTCTGTTAATACTCAGGACAAAGGACAAAACATCCAGAACTTTAATACGAACAGCACTACGACTTTCATTCCTGGAATGAGAAAAGCAAATTAAGGATGAATAAAATTGCTACATTTTATTTTTGTATGTTGAAGTACAAGAATAGTTTTTAGGAGTGCTAACTAAAAAATGGACATTACTTTTCATTGTGTAACCAAATACAGTTCTGATGCTTAGTAGGAAACTCTTGTTTGGTGTCAGAAATGCAAAATGCACAATGCAGCACGTAACAGCATAAGTTAACTAGGACAGTATCATCCAATGGAAATGAAAAAAGGAAGGACAAAAAACTCTTTGGAAATTTTTCTTCTTTTGAAACTACATGCTTTCATATACCATGTCCTAGAGCTACCATAATTCTTAACAGTTATTATTAACATTGAGACTTCAGAGAAAATAAAATTATTTAACATGGAATGGTGGTAAGAAACATTTGAAATGGCCTTGTGTTCATAAAGTTATGATTTCTTACCTGAAGAATCTCTCCATTAACATCTGCAGGTTGTGAATCCAGCCATCCTTGGCAGGATGAATGGACTGAGCTCTGTATGTTATCAAGTTTAATACAGAAGATTCCTGTTATGGAAAGATTAAGAAATGTTTTTAGCATATAAGCAAATACAACATAGCCAATTCTTTCCCCTCCCTCTGAGGTCAAGGCTCATGTGGATGGTATATCTTTGCTTTGGTTTTCTAACCACTTGCTATTTTGGGACTCCCAATGTTAATTTAAAGTAGGTAACAAAACAGTTGCAACTGTCAATAAAGGGTAAAGATAATAAGGAAATTCTTACCGGCCTTTGATCAGCACATCTTTCCACCAGCTCAAAAAATCTCTCTTCAGAGCCATGAAATTCATTCTGGTCACAGAGTTCTTCTACTGTAGTCAAAAGATCATGTACAATGGACTTAAGTTCTTGGCTCTCTAGACTCTGCAACAGAGACAAAAACATTTATGACAAGGTTTTTGGACTGGAAGAACGTCAGGATAGGCTCAACGCTCACCTGTAGCTGTTGGAGTAATCGCTCCATGATGTCCAAAAGGATATCCCATGTTACAGCTTGCAGCTCCTTTCCATACTTCTTTATTAGGCGTGTTATGGACAGAACTATCTCATAAGATACAACTGCATTGGGACATGTCATTGCCTGGAACACAAAGTGCTTCAGTTAATTAACAACTGGAAAAAAGTGTTCAGAAACCCTCTTGAATTCAAATGAAACATATCTTATTTGTTAGGAAGAATGTTCTTCTTTCACACTGAGACAGATTTTTTCTCTCAAGTTTCTGCACTACACACTAGAAAGACAAATTGTCTTTTGATTATTTTTTAAAGCTAATGCATCCGCAATACAGATATCTTATTTAGAGATGCGGGGCAGGGGGAATGCAGATTTTACTGTTTGGACAAGATATTCCATAAGGAAGTCTCAGCTCTAAACCTCAACTTTTAGTTGCTTCACTGTTTTTCCCTACGCTTCAGCCAGCATATCCAGAGAGACAAGTATCTCTTTGGTGTCAGTGGCCACCTTTTTGCTATAGATTGTACAGGTCCAAATCAACATCATCTCTTCCAATCCTACCTTGAGGAACGAAGGCAGCACTGACGTCGGGGAATTCTTGAGGGAATTGAGTCGATGAGCACCCCACAGGGCCATCCCAACAAAGAACACAGCTCCCCGCAGCAGGGCTGCATCTGCCATGTAAGCTCTAAGAGCAGATGGAAAGAAAGTCTTAGACTACACAAAGGATATTTTAGCATAAAACACTCGCTAGAAATATGCTCTGTCACAATTGCCAGTTGTTACATCTCGTGGCATTGGGGAGCAATTTACAAACATTAAAAGCACAAAAAGACTTAGTATGACTTTATTTTTAAATGAAGGAGATTTAAATATGGAAAAGCTCAAAAAAAAGGAGAACTTTGGCAGCACGCCTACGAAGAGAGCTTTCAGACTGCTCTTCTGAAGTCAGTGGTTTCCTATCTACTCCAACAGGACCTGTACCAAGTTCCTTACCTGTCTTCCATGATCCTGCACATGTTGTAGATGGCACTGTGTCCCAAATGGGTTCCCAAAAGGTTGCGCATAAGCTGTAAATGCAAAGAGAACACTTCAATATCCAATTGTTAAAACACTCATTGTATTAAATATGCAGCCAGCTGGCCAGCAGTGCCTGTCTATGGTACAGTAAGTATGCTCAGCCACGAAAGCTCTGACCTTCCAGCAGGGCTCGCAGAGTTCCTTCACATTGATGGTACGGCACAACGTGATGATAAACACGGGCAGGTTCTCTGATGGCAAACAGTTATAGCAAACCACTGCATCCAGGACTTGCAAGGAAATCTTTGGGAAAGTGAAAGACAAAGCGGTTACGCACTGCTTTTGGGCCAAGGCATGCGAAACACTAACCTGATGTACCCAGGAAATTTTCTGGAAGTCGAAAGGGTTTT